TCTTAAGAAGTTACGAAATAATTAGCAAAATTTCAAATATTTTTTTTGATTCCCTGTTTGTCAACAATTATGTATATATATATATAAAATATAACGATAAATAAATACACATTTAAAACTTGATATAATTTTAATTGAAAGAGTAATAATTAAAAGAAAAGAAATGAAATGTAGTATCGTAGTAGTTATTGTTTTATTTTTAATATCTTTTTTTAATTATTACTATCTTCGTATTAAATAATTTTTGCAAACAGTAAAGCTATATTTTTATTTTATTTTAATTTTTAATAAAACAAAAAATTAAAATAAATTATACGCACGATATTTCGCTTTCATCCTATTGTATATATATTATATATTATATAATTGGATTTTATTTAGTGTAAAATCATATCCTCATTTATTGCGTACGTAGGAATAAAAAAAACTTATTATTTTTTCATTCTCTTTATTATAAAAATACTCTTATACTTCTTATATAAGTTCTATGTTTCATATTTTTTATATAATACATAATATTTATATACAAAAATGCCTTGTTGTGAACTAAACTCGTTACATTTTTATTAAGATTTCTTAAGATCAAAAATAGTTTTAATGAATTTTCCCAGAAATTGAAGATATCAAAATAAAGAAAGAAAATGCAATAGAAAAATGAACTCTTACATAGTTTTTATATTATTATACTTATATTATTGTAGAATTTTGTCGTTGAACAAAAATTATAATAGAATTTATAAGACTTTTAGAACTTTGAAAATTTTGTTAAGGCACAAGATATGTTTTTCATAGTTTAGAATAATTTAAATATATTTAAATATAAGTAAAAATCATAATTATATGTCAAAGTGCCTTCTTCAATCGTGTTTAAAAAACTTTTATAATTATGAAATATTACCGTGAATTATGGTGCTATAATAATTTTAGTAAATAAAGAACATGTAAATATAATGCACTTTCATAAAAAAAAAATGAATATGTGCATTATAAAATACGTGAATATAAATATTTTTAAATATATGTAAAAATTGCCAATTAAAAGTGCCATTATAATTCTATAAAATATGTATTAATAAATAATAGTAGCTTCTACTTTAATGAAACATTTATTCCATCAAATATATTCAATAATATATTTATTCTTCCACCATTCGTATCATTTTAAAATTCTACAATCATAATAAATATTTCTGGTATCGTGCTTGAAAATATGTAAACACTTTTTAATAATAATATACAGCGTACACGGTAGCCACGCAGAATATTGTATCCTGAAAAAATGTTATTATATTTGTATCTATTTATCTAACTATTTTTAAGATTTTTATTCTTAAATATTTTAAATCATTTTCATTGATAATGAAATATTAAATACTTGTATCCTTAACAGTGTTTATTCTTATTTGAGAATGTATCTCTTAATTATATCTCTAACCAAATATTGTAATTGTACAATCATTTAAAAAACAAAAATTAATTATGACCCTTACATTTAAGAAACTATCATATGCATATGTATCTGCTTCTGCATCCCAAATACATCTTGTTCCCATTTTTACCCCAGCACCATATTGTTGACCCAAAACCACATTTACGATATATTTATAACGATTAAAGTTTAATTCTAGAAGTATATAATAAATTATTCGATAAAATAAAATTATTTGACTATTGTATTTAATTATTATTTAATGAAATCCTAAACCAAGAAGAGAAACTTCACCTTTAATTTTTTCTCTAATTATATCTGCTATATCTTTGGTCCATTGAATAGCATCCTGAGCATTATAAGTTTTTTCAGAAAGCTGATCAAATAATACCGTATGTATAACTTCTTTAGCACTCATGGGCTTAAATCTATATCGAAAATACTCGTTTGATTTCACTAGTCAATACACTAATCAATACACTTTATACTTTGTTAAACTATTGAAAATTCTAAGAAGAATTTTATGATCCTAACCATTAAATACCAATCATATCAATTGTATTGTTAAATTCAATACAAATAAAATATAATTAAAATAACGTATAGAATAATAAATAATAAACATATATAGAACATATATAGAATAAAAAATTATTGATTGTGAAAGAACATTAAAAATAATGAAGCAAAATGAAACTTAATAAGCTTCATTTAATTAAAAATATCGTATCGTAAATTGTTAAAAATTTCTTAATCGATCAAAATAAAATATAAAAATAAAGAATATATGTAATTAACGAGAGTACTTCTCATGTAAATGCGGACGTATTTGATAAACTGGTGCTGGTGCATCATCAAGTATTTCAACATTGAGAAGCGTCTTTTCAACTTTTTCTTCTTCTGGAACATAATGATTTTCTTGTACTATTCCTTCTTCTGATGTAACAGAACTTTTGCTATGAATATTTTCCATTTATTCTAACAATGTTGGAATTTATTTGTAAAAATAAAATATTTTTCACTCTACACTTAGGTTATGCGATCAATCACTTCAAATGCCACCACTTAAATGAGCAGAAGCGCGCGCTTTTCTCGTTTGTTGCAAATTGCCGCGAAATTCAAACGAGGTTTAAAATACTAAATTTAATATTTGCTTCGCTCAATTATTTCTAAAATAATCTTTAGTAATTTAAATTTATTTATTATAGAATTAACGAAGACTATTATTATCTATATTTTACTTATTCTATATTTAATAAATTAACATAATATATTTTAATTTTTAATTTTATAAATGAAATATAAAATATAGAAACAATTTAAATTTGTGCAATGTGAATAATTTTATTTATACCATAGTAATTTAACCTGTTATTTACGTTCAAACAGGTGTTTATCTCATTTGTAAAAATATATATATATATTTTTTTTAATAATTTGTACAATGTACTTCATTTTTAATCGATATAAGTAACAATACAATACAATTTGACGCGTTCTTTATGCACATACACGTGCAATTTTCGCGTTAAAACGTATCTTGTAAATGATACTTAAATGCATCAAACGCGTTTCTATACATACAAGCATTACTTAATGCATTCGATTTCGTAATATGTATTCATTCTCGTCTCGACACGCGCTTTACTTCGTAAAGAAGTATGCGAAACGCTAAAAGAATTTGCGCGTTCGAAGTTTCTAGCGTCCTACGAATTGTTTTACGTCGACAATGTATACACTAACATTTCCGGCCCGACAAATAAAGACGCTGACGTGCTTTTGCTTTTTAATTAAAGAAAAAGGGCAAGCAGTATCACTGAGAATGCGAAGCAATTGCGAACTTTGATTCAGTTCAAAATAATCATTATCTGAAATATCTGGTCCTCGCGTTTAAGACCTTAACAAGGTTTACAGTAACAAGCTACGAAATTTTCATCGTCGATTATGCGATATTGGTAATTCTTGTAAGTGGTGAAATCGTTCTCGCGCATTTGATTCGAGTGGTCATAGATCTTTTTGATTACTGGACGGAAGCTTGGAATTTTAGCAGCCGTGGCTATTTCATCATAGTACGCCCATTGTCGTTCCTTTAATTTGACGATATGCCTTAGCTGTAAACGAAGAAGCATTAGTCTTCCTTTTTTCTTCCTTCTATTTTTTTTTATCTATTTTTAAACATTAAATAGGCATTAATGAAATGTATGTATATATATACCGGAATTCCGCGATCTAGCAGAGCTTTCTTCTCCATCTCGTACTCTTCGTACATTTGTTTGGTTGAAGGCAGTTTGATCTGACCTTCCAAAATACCTAAAATATACTGAGCTTGCAGATGGAACATGGGAAATGGAATTACTATTCCGGGCAATCCCATCACGAATAAATTCGGATAATCCATGTGTATCAGGTGTTTGTAAATCGGCTCGACGTGGTTGTCGTCCGTACGCATCTCAACTTTAGTCGACATAAAGGGATACGTAAATTTATAACCTGAAAACACAATATTTCATCGAAATTGCAGTATTGAAAATTCGAGCGAGAAGGTCAGGGTCCTACCGACAAGGGACAAAATTTGATAATTTGTAGAATCGAAAAAAAAAAGAAGAAGAAGAAAATAAATAAAATAAAGCGTATCAGTTTCAGATATTTCGTAGATATTTTAATTCAGGCCTGAAGAAAATTCGACAGGGCCCTGACGTCATTCGTTTACATTATGCATAATCAATTTTGGGATACCTCGATCACTTATATGTACGAAGGAGATCAAGTCTTTTTACCGGTGCAATATATGAAGTTGTCTACTTCAGCGGTGGAACCATCGCGGAAGATGAATATGTTCCTTGAATCGATTGGATTCCAGGCCTCTCCTCTACGACGTTCGACATTTGCGAACCAACACTCTCAGGTAGATTGTGGCTTAAATATATCTGTGCGCGCGTGTGTGTGTGTTTTTTTAAACAGAAATTTAAACAAAATGTTTGCATCATATGTAGCATCAACATACGATGAGAAAAAAATTCAAAACGTACAACTTTTATTTAGTGACAAGATACGAAATAATCGAGTAATAAGTTTCGTATATATACCTTTTCTGCGTGTTGAGAGATCTCCATGGCGATATCGATGCCAGACCAAGATGCACCCAGAATGCAAACTTTCTTCCTGGCAAACATTTCCGGCACTCTGTACTGATGGCTGTGTATCGATTCTCCAGGAAAACTTTCGATACCCGGGATGTGTGGAATGTGCCCTACGGTGTAATGACCATTGCACAAAACAACGGCGTCGAACGTTCTAGTCGTTTCCACCATAGTTTCTAAATCTTGATACGTGATCATCCAGATCGTCTGTCCATTTCGTAAAGTTTCTGGCTCCACTTGTTTCACCAATGTGTTTAACTGGGAGTTAAAATGATAAAATATAATTAATTAGAACTCCATTATTCAATGGAGTAATTCGAGATTTTTTTTTTTAAATTCTTCCATTCTACCTTAATATGCGGATATAAATTAAAATGTTTTGCATAATCCCAAAGATACTCTCGAATTACGCTGTGATGAACAAATGACGATCCTTCGTCCTCCTTCATTGGAAAATCGGGTATTTGCATTATTTCCCTTGGAAGATTTGTCCTGTAATACATATATATATATATTCATTACAATAAAATTAAATGTTAAATGAATGGAGATTAAACGATTATATATAATATTTATAAAAATATATAATTGTAATATATCAATTATTATTTTAATTCATATTATATACCGATTACGTTATCAAACTTGATAAGAGCAACATGCACAACACATTATTTATGACAGAATGATGCTTCCTTTTACATAATGATGTTAGCCTTAATATTAAAACGTTATAAACACATAAATCATCGCGAATGCTTATATGAACTATAACTTTCATACGGCATATAAAGCATACTATACTATAATGCTGTACTATAATAAATTCTGAAATAATCCTCCTATTCATTAATTCTGAATTATTGAGCGCGATTCCTTCTATTTATTGCCAGAGAAAAAAATAATATTTGATGAAAGGGATTGTGTCAATAATGATCGATAAATAAAGTGTTATTACCGAGGGAATATCATTATATCATTTTTTAAATCGACTAAATCACAATTCTACCATCGTAGAATCGAGTATGATAGTTCCAATATCTTCAAGGTCTTTCCTACGTTTCGTAATATTTATTGCTAACCGATACATAAATATTATCACACATTTTATGAAATATCTGCTGTTGAAAAGCGCGATTTTTTTCCCTTTTTTTCCTCTCTTTTCTTTTTTTTTTTTTTTTTTTTTCTTATAGAAGAACGTTATTTCGTACGTATCCACAGCGTTATTTCGATGCAATTTGAACGATATTAATGGATTTATTTATAAATATCGATTAAGTATCGAGAAATTTTTTTTCCTTTCTTTTCTTTTTTTTTTTTTTTTTCTTGTACCGGAACAATTTGCTAAACCGATTGTTTTATTATGTTAAGAAGCGTATCTCGTGTCAGCAAAGTTTATCTCGAACTAAAACGCAATTATTCCCATTCCCACACGAATATATACATGGCATGAAAATAGAAATGAAACGAAAACCATTGGTCATTTTATGCCTTGCCGATCGAATGATTCATTATTATGAAAGCTATTTACTGCCTTTATATATTCAATTACGTAACTATTATACGTTATTAATTATTCTTTAATCGTTTAGAAATATTTCACTGCGTCTATTCAAGTCTTGGATCCAATTTAGATCGCCCCGTATTTGCTTTCCATTACGGCAAAATTGATCGAGAAAATAACTGTAATCGGGAACAGAACAGAAAATTTCATTTCATAAGTTGTTTGAGAAATAGAGCAAACGGGAACACCCTTCTCCTTTACCAAAGAAATATATGCGTATCCGTCTACGTGATCATTTCTT